GAGGGAGAAATGAGGCCTCAACACGATCTCTGGGAGGTGGAAAGCAGGAGAGAAGGTAAGAAAGAATGGCTTGCTGTGTCACAGATTTCAAACCACTAGAGAGTAATGGTTTCAGACAAGGCAGGGCTGCGCAGGTACTGTGAAACCACTCAGACACAGATGCTGACACTGCTCTTCCCCACCTTGGATGGCATTTCCTCTGGCACAGACACCCTCACGTCCCTGGGTCCTGTAGGTAACAGGAGTTTGACCCCACTCCCAACCCCAGGATTTGTCCAGAGGTTAAGTTGCCTCATCAAGCCTGAGGATGGGATCCTCTCAACCCTATTCCCAAACCTAGCACCTGCTCAACTAATGACACCCCCAACTCCTTACCTTTCTAACAATGAATACTCATGTATTCATCCTCCAAAATAGCCCTTTGTTTCCCAGGCTCTCATTAATATGTGGCTCTGAGGCCCTAGGATGGTTTTTCACTCCCCTCCTTTCAGCCAGTGAACCATAGTTTTAACTAGAGTATTTTCAAATTCTGTCAAAGCACTGAATTCACAAGTAAAAAAGGATCATTTACTGATCCACTTATAATCCTGCATCAGAAAGGGCCAGAGCCCTGCTTCAGTAGTGAATGAAGTCAGGACCAAGCCAGAGTGACTTGCCTGGCTCTTCTTCCAAAAAAAGGAAGATGTTCTCTAAGGACAGAAACTAAGCCCTCCCCCTCAAAAAGTGCACAAACCCCAATTTCAGTGACTCCTAACCTTTATAACACCCTCAAGCCCATACTCCCCCACCACCAAAAAAAAAGCAGGTGAGGTTCAATTCTTTCAGTTCTAAGCCACTAGCCCCACTGGCTGTAACCTGCTAAGTCTCCCGCTTGTACCCTCTGCCAGTTTCACAACTTCTAGCAGATCCACCATTCCTCAGAGGCCCAGCAGGGTTCCACTGCTACCAGTCAAAGTTTTCCTGGGCATCTTCGATCATCACCGATATACCTCTTTCAAAATCCCTCTATTTCTTTTTGTTTGTTTGTTTTTAATTTTATGTCGAGTATACTTTCTGCATGTGTGAAAGTGCACCTATATCATGTAGTGCCCACGGGGGTCAGAAGGTGTCAGATCTACTGGAACTGGAGTTATGGATGGTTGTTAGACTCCATGAGGGTGCTGGGAATCAAACCCAGGTCCTTCGTAAGAGCAGCCAGTGTTCTTAACCACTGAGATATCTCTTCAGTAAAATCCCTCTATTTCTAACCACATAATTTAGCCCCCAAGTCAGTAAAGTCCAGTAGTCTGCAAGGATGAAAAATCTTCTATACTGTTCAAATTGTGGCACAAATTTTTCCTTTAATTTCAATATTAAAAGCCATACATGAATAATAACTATCATATTTGACAATGTAGTCCCCTATACTATATTTGTTAATTTTACCTTCTCCAAATAGATTTTCTGACCCCAAATATTTTACAGGCCACTAATACCACTAATCTCAATAGGACTAAACATATGGTAAATGTAAACTACCTGGAACCATACTGGTTATTAAAGAGGCTGGCTTGATCCATGAGACGTTCCTCACCTCATATTTCCATCCAGCAAACTCCAAATTGAGACACTACTCCCTGCCAGCCACACTGTCATCTCTCCAGTGGGTACACAGAATGAGGACATTGTCTGTACTGGGGGATTCAGAGCTCTAATGTTGCCCTCCAACTGTGTCCAGACCAACTATGAGAGGTTCTAAGCATCTTTCCTTCATGACACCAAAGGAAACTACATCGCAGTGGCACTACATGACCTAGCCAGGGAGGCACACTGGAGAAAGGGAAAAGAAACTGTAGTATCTTGCTTCCTCTAGTCTATGCAATGGAAAGATAAACAGAGATAAGTTATGACAACATTCTGTATTTTGTAAAGCAATCACATGCTTCACTTAACCAGCATTGTATAGCAGAGTGTAATAATAGTATGGGCTTTAATTAAATTTGTTAAGCTAATACTTAAGCATCACTATGACATGGTAAAGCAGAAAGCAGCTGAGTAACCCATGATGAAAACAATTCACACACAAATGGGTTGAGACTATATGTCTCCACCAAAGAAATAATAGAATCCCCATGTTCTTCTACAAAGAATAAAATTCGTATCAAGCACTACTCCCTAAAGAGGGGAAGGAAAATTTTAAAAAATAATAACCTTGTTACAGATTCAAAACACATGGAACTCCTGAGTTGGTTTAGAAGCTGTCTCCCCAACCTTAGTAATTGTGGCTGGAAGGTGGCATATACATACCACTGACCTCTGGCCAACAAATGGGGCCAATGATTGGAGAAGCTCTCTTTGAAACAGCAACTAACTCTCAATATCACTTCAGTCAGGAAGTAGGGAGAGGCCTGAGACCTGAGACTAGGAAACAGAGAAGACCTGGGTTCTAACCCTGTGTCAAATGAACAGTGAGAGTTACCACTTGCCTTGAGCAGGTCATACCTTCATTCTGGGCCTTGTGTTCTCATCTACAAAATGAAGGTGTTCGATACTGACGACCTTTCCACTGCCTTCTAACTCTCCCTGAAAGTATATGCATGACTCAGAACATGGCAGGATGGACAATGAGGCAAGGTGACAGCACCCACCAAAAGCATTTAAACAGCAGCTTTGCAAAGAGGAGGGAGAAAAGCAGCCAGACCAGTTGGGACCACTTTAAAAGCACTGATTTCACTTAACAGAATTAAGAAATCACCAGGCCACAAACGAGGAGCATAGTCTCTGGGCAGTCATCAAATCCCATCAATTCTCAGAGCCACAAGACAGGAGACTTCCAAAACCCGATAAGAGCCAGGCTGCTGGCCACATCTGTCCTAAGCCCCAGGAATGAGCTCAGCAGTCTGCAGAGCACAGGTATCTGCCTTTTTCCTCAGCACCTTCTCCATGGCGTCATCAATCCAGCCTATTCCACCATATCCTCCTCTCATCAAAAAAAAAAAAAGCTTCTGGTTTTGAAAGTCATTTCACTACTCAGCACCTAAAGTTTAAAAAAATGCAAGATGTCACTAGACACAGGCTTCTTTTAACCAGATTCCCCCACGGCTGTGATTATGTCTTAGCCAATATTTAGATATGGAAGTGCTGTTGACACTGCTGCCACTCTCCAAATGCCTCAGCTCCTTCTTTCCTCCATTATTAAATCTTAACACAAAGATGTGTGGGAAATCTACAATTTAACAGCTGAATCAAACTCTGAGATCTGGGAACAGGCTGTCTGTCAAAACAGACTCTGATATGAGGCAGTCATGCTAGATTTTTTTTTCCCCTAGATTTTTTTCCCTTTCAAAACTATTCACAGAAGGAAAATATACAAACTTCTCTTCTAATTACACCAGAATTCTGTTAATTGCCAGCTGAAAGCATTTTAGAGGATGTTTTCATTTAAACAGAATACAGAGAAGAACTTCTCTTCTGAAGTCTTTATATTATGTTTCAACTATCCAAGAGAATGAACAGCCAGTGCCCCAGCCTGCTGATGGGTAAAGGCAGATGGCATCTCAGAAAAGATAGAAAACTCTCCCAGAAATAACATCTGTCACTTCCTCAACAATACAGTTAGCTATGGTCAAACTGTTTGCTCACCTCCAGTCCCCAAGGTCAGAGCCATATTCAACCCAAACTCCCTTCCTCACTGCACTGAATATGGAAAGGGAAGTGAAAGGAACAAATACTGCAGTATTCAAGACACTGATAAATTGCCTCCCAAACAGTCAACGGCCAAGTAACAACCAAGATCCCACAGCAGAAGCTTAGAAAAAACAAACCTAACATTGAGGGTGAAAGCAGCAAATGTAAATATATATACATATATATACATATACATATATACACACACATATATACATATAAACATATACATATATACACATATATACATACATATATATATACGTATATATATAAAATCTCACAAAGGTTTTAAAACCTAGAAATTTAAAATACCCCTACAAAGTACCATGTTTTTATTCCATTTGACTCTACATGTCAACAGTCCCACCCATAACTCATCTGAGTTTAGTATGTAATAACTGAAACCAAGCAAGCTGTGTGGGTTGACAGAGAAAGGAAAAATACAACACGGGAAGTAGATCTCTCCTCCAATCAGTCGTTAAGATACCCCGGGGAAAGAAACCTGACGTGTGACCTTTAAAGATAGGGTGTAGCATGAAACCCTCATGAGAAGAAAATACTGAGCCTGAATGCCTGGCTCACATTTCACTGGGTACCACTTGAAATTTTCATTCTCCCCTTACCACAGCCGAAAGAGGCAGAAACAGACAGACTGACAGTGGGTTTCCCCAGCCCACGAATACCGTTTCCTCCCGTGAAGCCCGTCGACCAGAACCCAAGTGGGTTTGCAGCATCAGCACGGAGCCAAGTTGGGCTCATAGACTAGGTTTACTAGAAGAGATTGGAGTAAGGGGAAGAGCAGACGACTCGCCGGGGTCTCTCGGGCGCTGGAGGCGGAGCGGCCTCGAGGGCCCCACAAGCGCTGGACGCGGGGTCCCCAGCGTCTCCAGGCCCCCGCCGGCGCGCCCCACCGCAGCACCTCGGAGCTGGCGAGGCCAGAGGAAGCCGAATCACATTCCGGCTCCCAAATAAGGAGCAAGGTTAAGTAAACCTCCGGGAGCTAACTTCTCCAAACCGACCGATCGACCAACTTAATGAGTAATGGGCCTTTTGTGCCCGCAGAAAGAAAGGAAGGAGCAAGACGGAGAGGGAGGGAGGACGAAGAGCCGCCAGACCCGCAGCAGTCTCTGGGACACCAGCTGAAGTCAGCAGAAGCGGTCCCGAAGCCAGCGGTCGCGTTCGGCTGGATCCCGCTCCAAGATGGCAGAGTCCCCGCGAGTCTTCCCAAGTCCGGCGGCCAGGCGCGAGGTGACCGGAAGCCGCCCGGACCCGAGCGCTCACCGCCCCACGCCGCCCGCGCCCCGCCGCGCTCCCGCCCCGGCCAGACCCACCTTGAGGGCGAATTTCTGCTGGGTCCTCTTGTCGAAGATCCGCAGGACCTTCCCGTTGATGCCCAGACCCAGCACCTGGCTGGTGACCTTGTAGTCGTCGGTGATGGCGTTCTTTCGGATCTGCAGGCCGGATTTGACGTGGAACTGGGGAAACGGCGGTGGCGGCTGGGCCGGGGGCGGCGGCGGGCTGGGGAACGGCGCCGGCGGGGTCCTGCCCGGGGAGCCGGACAGCATGGTGGCCGGCGACGCGCGC